ACTATCCCAACATACCCAAGTTTTGACCCCCTCTAAGGATCTCACTGATTGGCATATCAAATACAGCCCAATCCGACACCTAGTGTAGTATCATAATCGAGTCTAGGGGTCAGGTGTAACATTTCAGTTTTGCCCATCTATCTCCAAGGTCCAGGGCAATGCTGGAATTCTGGTCCGGTTCAGGGTTTCAAAAAAACCCACACTGCATGTACCTCAGGTCTCACCCTGGCAGCTGAGACAACCTACCCCAACCAACTTGGCGGAACATCAGTGTCAGCCTTGGCAGGACAAATCTCCCCAGATCTATCCAACGGCTATGAAGATTCTAAACTAACACGAGTCTCATATGTGTCTAGTTTAAGGGTATTACACAGAAACACACCAAAATAACATGAATCAAATATGTACTTTATTCATTTACATTAAATGTCATAAGGTGCATCATTCTGATTGGAGCTAAGGGCATACACTGTCTAACAATTTAACCCCCTAAAACCGAATGAACAAGCATGCCAAAAAAGGAGGCACATGAGACCATGCCCTCAGTGGAAGGAGACCAAACTCTCGCATTAGAAACATTTAGGAGGGATAGGTTTACGAAAAATCTCTTTCACTAGGAAATTTAACCCCTTGAATCTGAATGAACAAGCAAGTTGAAAAAGGAGACACACAAGACCATGTCCAAAAAACATTTTCTAATTTTGATAGTAAAAGAATTAGGGAATTACATTCATTATCCCTCAAGCCCATTATGAAACCAAAATCCCAATTTAACCCAAAATCAGTGATTACACCAAACTTAGCAACAAGTTCCAATTTGTAAGTAAAAAGGGATAGAGCTCAGGGAATTGTAACTTAAGGGGCATCTCATCAATCCAAAGATCTTCCCAAAACAATACTTTATTTCCGCTACTCATATCAAAGAAAATAAAATTTAAAAAGGAAGGTAGTACCTCAATGATTGCTTTCCAAGGGGAGCTTGAAGAAGTGTGAGCCGCCAATTTTGCATCCCAGCCATTTTCCGTCACACCACAAATGCTTTTAATTACTCTCTGCCAAAGCCTGTCACTCTATAGAGGAAACCTCCATAGCCACTTTCCTAGCAGAGTTGTGTTGCACTTGATAGGAATACATATGTCATCAAAATACTATGCAAACCCCTTTCACAAATTAGATATTTGACCCCATCATACGCTTGCACTTCCTTCAGGGAAACACACCAACTTCTTCCTTCCTCACTCAAAAAAAAATCAAAAAAGAGTGATGAAGTTACCTTTGCCATTTCGTCTTCTTTCCACCTCAAATCTTTTTCCTTCAACTTCTTTAGAACATTTCCAAACCCCTCTCTTATCCAAACACATCTCTTCAACTACAAAGTTCTGAAACCACATACTGTCTCCTTACCTATCAACACTCCCATGCTTTCTCAACTTCCCAAATGTTTAGTAAGACCTTCCCTCTGACTATGATCTCTTCAAACACAAGCCTTTTTTCTTCAATCTTCACCCAACCCTTCCACATCCCACTTCAAATAGCAATATTCTTGCCCCACTTTTGTGACACCATCTCCACAGTGAAGAGGTCTTAAAATTGTAATATCCTAAGCAAGCTTACAAGACATTTTCCACTAACTCTAACAAAGGACCGGAGGGAACTGCAATCAATTTGGATATCATTGACATTTCCACCAAGGTATCAATAAGGGCAGATGAAGAAGGACCTAAAGTCCAGATGGATGAAGTTTACATACTAAGAAATTTCCTTTGAACAAGTGGTTGATTGGGAGGTCCAAGTTGGCAAAGCAATGGTGATTTTCTTCATTAGAGGAGAAGAGTTTGTGAAAAATGCATTCAAACAACTGGAACATTACTTGGAATGAACAAGAGAGGTTAGGGGTAGAGGATAAAAGAAAAAAAGTAAGGAGGCCTATAAGGGGCTTGATCTCCCAGCTACATCTTTGAAGGTTGAAAAGTGTCGAGGGAAGAGGGAGGAACTGGAAACAGACTGCATAAGGAAAAAAAGGTTTTGAAGCACAGAAAAAGTCAAAGGTGGGGTAATAACTTAGTTAAGGAGGACATTATGATCATTAAAGTATAGATGTGGACCTTTCTTTGTGGCCGTTGTAACTTGTATACTTTATGGGCTCCTTTTTTAAAAGAGGGGTTGAGGGGACTTGCCAGTCCACCTTGAGAATTAAGAGGAAGACAATCCTAACCTCCTTCAAGACCACCAATCCATAAACAGATTTGTATAATGCTTCTTCAATACACATAAGGCCCACCTGTTTGTGAATCTGAATTTCATCTTTTTCTTTTCTCTTTTTGGATAGGGAAAAAACAAATTTGATAATAATAATTATAAAGGGACTGACACAAAGAGGAACCCAAATAGACCTATTTCATATGAAAAGAAGTACATGTGTCACAAAAAAAAAATCAGAGAAACAAATACAAAACACAGCAGAACAACTAATTTCTTACTAGCTCCCCATACTTGGAATCAAAATCAATCCTAGTCATGTCAGAAATTTATGTTTTATTAGGGATTTTTTATTTTTCTTTGCCCCAACCCTTTTGTACAATCTATGTATCACTTTTATTTCAACCATACATAATGCATACAGTAAAAGAAATTACATCTGACATACTCAAATCAATTAAGCCTTACCCAGGTATTTTAGATTAGCACATGATAGAATTCTAACCTTAATTGCAACATCAAAAGATTCAGCAAAGGAGTCAGGTACCTGACCTTGATCTTCAGATCGTGCCTAACGGACCTACATCCAGGACAAATCGAATTGAGAATTTGTACGGTTTCTGAAATAAAGAAAGGATTCAAAACATTCACTGCAAATTTGATGATCCCAATGTGTCCTGCAAGTACATTAACAAAATTGAGAGCAACATTCAATAAGATGTTAAAATACATGATTTCAGATTGAAAGAACTCTTCAAGCGCATCTAATTCTTACCATCACAATTTTTTAAATTTTTGCCACCACATGTGGAACACTGAGACAATGGATTTGGGAACCCCAGCCTAGGGTCAGTCACTTCATTAGCTGCATCTATTGCTGTAACAGAACATTTCTCCTGAAATGGTTTTACATGATTATAATTTTTCTCACCAGAGGAAAAAAGGTAATCATTCACAGAGAAAAAACTCAACTAGCACAACAAGAAATACTGCATAAATAAAAGACAATACTTTCTCCTGAGTCCTGAATGCAAAACAACAGAAGCTTGTCTTACAGGTCTCAATGTCTAATACAGATATGGAAGGGAAGAATCAATTAAGGAAGAAATCAATGTTTGGGTCAGGGTTGAAAAAATATGAACCTGATTATTTAACTTTGGGAATGGGTTAGGGTTGAAGCCTTGGGCAACATGACCGAACGCAACCGCAATACGTCTTTTATATTCATAACAAGTAAAATTTTATTTGTAATGGAAGAAATATAGAAAACTATGTACAATATGGTCTTACATTACACATCTATGACAAGCTTTAATGGTAATACCTCATTATTTAGGGTTGTCAATAGTTTGGGGTAGACCCAATAAACTTGAACCAACTGACCCAATTATAAAAGGTCTAGGTCTGCATTATGTGTCCAGACTACAATTGGGTCAGGAACGATTTCTATTGTTCCTAACAATCAACTTGAAATATTATCGCATTATTTTTTTTGGAAGTAAAATAAAATTTTATTAAAAGGAAAATGAAAGTACAAGAGAGATGATAACAAGAAGTCACCCGGGAGGAGTATAGTTATTATATTATGATGTCCAAATGTGTTGATTAAACAAATAAGTATTGTTATGAAGCCAAAACAATAAATAATTATTGTCAAATACTAGAATTACAGGCTAAAAGTATAGCTGTCAATTACAATCAGGCCTTATCGGGTCAGACCTGATAATCCCAATTACAGACATAATAAGGTATGGTTCGGAAATGGTTCTGCACATTTACTTGGGTCAGGACCAGGTCTACCCTGACCCAACCCATTGACAGCACTGCCATTGTTGCTCCCCCACTTTTCCCAAATAACCCAATTAAACAAAAAATTTAATTCAAAGGATATTCACCCCACTTCAGGCACTCTCTGYTTACAAAACTGAGGGACCCAGAAAAATTCAGCCTACAATCCCTTAGCCAGGTATCTTGCCTCTCTAAGTCTATCTTATGTCTGAACCTCAAAGGATGCACAAACAGAGTTGGTAGATTAAGGAAACCAGCTTGGGCATCTGTATATAATTGTCTATGTACCATGTACATTCTAAGTAGTATAGTGCATGCACCACTAATTCTAAGTTAAAGGCTCAGGACTATTTTAATTTAACATAAATACTCCTAAAGCACCACAACTTTGTCCCCAATAATATAGGAAGTGATACCATTTTCTCAAGGCTGTGTTTGGTATGAGTGCAAAAAGCATATCTTTGATGTAAATGCAAATTTGGTTAAAAAGTGGGAACGCAAACCTGGTTTGGTTTTCCATTGATGAATTTTGTATTGGAGACAAACCTGTGTTTGGTATGAGTGCAAAAAGCATATCATTGATGTAAATGCAAATTTGGTCAAAAAGTGGGAACGCAAACCTGGTTTGGTTTTGCATTGATAAATTTTGTCTTGTATTTGGCTATTATGGGTACAAACATGAATTTCAAGATTGGCATCTACCTTTTTTACAATAACTAACTATGAGTGCTGTTAGAGAATAAAAACTTATTCAGGGGCCTCACCTGACAGCTTAAGCTTTTAGGTTGAGCAGGGGTCCTTGAGATGGTTTCAGAGCCTATTTGACCAAGTGGTCTAGTGTTTGATTCTAGTTGACCCATTATATTTAATTAAATTTCAGCACAAGGTATGGGTGGGCCTGTGCCTGTCCACGCTTCAAGTTTTGCATGAGGGGGTGTGTTAGAGAATAAAAACCTATTCAGGGACCTCACCTGACAGCTTAAGCCTTTAGGATAAACAGTCCTTCAGAAGTGCAAATGTTTGATTTATTTTTAAGAAGAAAACTTTGCTCCCATTTTGCATGCAAAAATGTCAGGAAAAAAAAAAAACAAATTTACTGTTATTTTCAGTACAAAGATGTATTATTACCAACAACTGCAAAACCAAACCAAAGTACAAATTCACCTTGGTTCTGTGTTTGCACTTTACCAACACAACCTAAAGAAAAATGAAGTTAAGCGGTGCCAACCCGACCCAATGCCACCTTTTGATTGGGAAGGGTTACGATTGAACAATTCTAGATTGGGCTGGGCCAAGGTTAGCTACAATAGGTTGAAGGTTAAATTAGGTTACAATTAGGGAGTCAACACTTGAGGATGGGCTAGGGTTGACATCAACCCAACCTTGCCTGGCCAACAAAAATAATAGCCAGTATATCTATATTAACAAGTACAAAAGCATGAGAACATAAAATTTGAAGAATTCTTCCTATATAATTCCAATTCCTGATTTAAAAACATGACACAATTCCAACAATCTACAAAATATTTAATACTTACTATGTCCTCTTCAGTCAAAACATTAAATTGTATTCCTTTCAGGAAACCTGATGGCACTTGCTGCTCTATAAACACATCATCATCCATTCTAATTGTGCCACCTTATTCCGCCAACAAATTCCACAACCTATACAGTAGAACTAAGATGAATCACATCAGAATATAGAAAAGTGACCAACATTTAATACATAAAAAATACAAATGATAAGAAATTAGTCTAATGGAAACTACTATGCTCCAAACAATGTAATTCCAAAAAAGGTATCATTCCTTTATTTATTAGTTTATTTTGGAGGGGGGTTACCTGCAGGCAACAATATAAAAGCATATTTAGAAGCTTTTCCATGTGACCCTTATACTTTCAGTATTATATATAACAGTGTTAACTGAAAACCCAAGCCAAACCCATATATTTGCAATTAAGTCTGAGTTGAGTTAAATTATGTAAGGGTAACTTTGTAGGACCAAATCAAAAAATGGGACTGAATTAAATTAAATTTGACATTGGCGAAATTTCAAAATTATTCTTGAGAAGACAGAAGCATTCTGCCAACAGAACAAAGGCTAGGTCCTACTTGGAGAGGCTAAGCAATCTCAATAACAATTTCTTAAACGTTTAAGGAGACGCAATTTCCATGTATTTTGTTCTAATCTTTTTTGTTGTATTGGTCCATGCTGGCCTCCTTTAGGTATCTTTCTGTTTTTTACATGAACCCTGAGCTTGCGGCTTGACTATCATTTTCAATTTGCTTGATATAAACAGAAGAAAAGAAGAGCAGAAAAAAACTTTTAAGGACTGGTTAAGATTTAGTAGCAGAAAAGAGAAGAAAAATAATTCAAATCAGAAAGAGAGAAGAAAATAGAGGAAGAAAGGTTTGGGGGAAGAAGAATCGTGGCTGTCTCTATCCCCACAAATCGTGTTTTATTAGTTCTAGTCATAATTAACAGAGTAATTACAAGTGCACCCTTGTTGTGAAGATAAACACAAAAAAAAAAAAAAAGCTTTAGGCTTTAGAAACATTACAGCATAGGCTCAAGCCCATAAACATAAAATAAAAGAAAAGACAAATAATGATCCTCGCAGCCCATCATCTCAGCACTCTCCCTCAAGTTGAACTTTAATGTCAATCACGCCCAACTTGCTTACATAGTGCCGTAATTTAGATTTAAGCACACCCTTACTGAAAATATCAGCACATTATTCCTCCAAGTCAATAAAAGGTAGACAAACTACTCCACATGCAACTGTCTCCTATATAAAATGTCTACCAACCTCAATGTGTTTTGTCCAGTCATGCTGAATAGGAATATAGGATTATAAGCCATGTTGATAGCCATCTGATTATCACAATACAACATCATTGGCTTATAAGAGCAGAAAAAAATCATAAGGACTGATTAAGATTGTTAGTGTAGGGGTATTTCTGTCTTTATACTTATGTTGAAGTTGCTGATCTGTAATATTATATTAGAACTAGTGTCCCTCACTTAAATAAGGGCACATGTGTCTTTACCATTATATTAATAATATAAAAACATGTCTGGCCGAATGGGAGAGTAATTTTTCCCTAATTCGAACCAGACTTTTCTTCTCTCCTTTTCTCCTCCTTTCTCTCTCTCTTTCTTCCTTCTTTCTTCCTCTTTCTTCTTGGATGTTATCAGACTAACAGAACTCAAAGGCAGGCCGAATTATAACAAAGATTTTAATGGTAGAACAGAGAAGAAAATAGTTGAGATCAGAAAGAGAAGAAAAGAGAGGAAGGATTTGAAGGGAGAAGAATCATGGGCTCATGGCCATCTCCATCCCCCCAAATCGTGTTTTATTAATTTAATCATAATTAACAGTGTAATTACAAGCATGCCCTTGTAGGGTGGGTATGAAGATAAATGCATAAAGAGAGCTCTAGGCTTTAGGCCCATTACAACATAAGCCCAGGTCTGTAAACATAAAATAAAAGAAAATACAAGGAATGATTTTCATGGCCCATCATCTCAACATAAACAAATGCCTCTAAACAATTAGGCATTACCCATCAAGAGAAAGGAACATTATGCATTTCTTGGCTTGGTAACTGTAGAGATAGTGGGCCGAATGGGCCATAATGTCTTATTTCATTATTGGATCTATTAGTTACTTTATTTATTAGCAAATGGACTTTAGCAGTGGGTTGTGGGCCTTTTCTTTGTTTATTTACTGTTATTAGTTCAGCCACCCAACCAGGGGCACCCTTGTAGTTATGCATTAAAGTGAAATAAATCAAAATAAAAGATGATTAAGGGACTGGAGAGAGATACAATCAAGCTCTCTTTTCCTCCCTTTTCTTTTCTTTTCTTTTCTTCCTCTTTCTCCTGAACTTCTTCTTCTTTCTTTTCCTTTTCTTTTTTCTTCCTTCTTCTCTAAATTCAGGTTTATTTCTGGTTTATATTTCTTCCTAGTATCAGAACAAGTCACCACTTCCTACTTTTCTCTTTTTAGGCCCATACATAGTGTGTGTGTGTGTATAGAGAATTCAGTTGCTGATCAATTGAAGATTGGTGCTGCCTAGTTTTTTTATCAGTAGAAAAGTGATTTTATTAAAATTTGGAATGAAGAAATGATTAGTACAACTTTTTAATCAGAGTGTCAATCCCACTTTACTATTCCAAGTTACATGGATGCCCAAAGCAGATATTGCCTAATAGCCCCTTGTTTAGCTAGGGAGTCAGCTAAACCATTTGCACACCTTCTAACCCATTTAAATTCAACCACTATTTCTTTTGCAATCATTTCCACTTCCCTTAGTACAGATTGAAGGGAATACACCTATTGGATTTAGCCCAGGATATGCCTACTTGTGAGTCTCCTACCACCTCAATCATATCATCCTAAATCCCAACTGCTTAGCTAACCTAAGGCCTTACAATAAAACCAACAGCTCAGCCTCCAAAGAATTTCCAAAGCCAATTGATCCAAAGAAGATGACCAATATCCTCCTCTTTGAGTTTCAAATAACCCCTCCTACTCCAGCCACACCCGGGTTATCAAGAGAGTTCCCATCAAAGTTCAATTTTACATTGCTGCCTTCTAGGGGTTTCCAATCCATCCTAATTCAATCCTTTGCTCTTGATGATTGTGTGATTTCAGTCCATGCCCTGAAAAAATCAATTACTGAGAATGTTTTGAAAATATCCAAAGTATTTACCCAAAATGCAACCTTTATTTTTATACTATCTAACACCTCTTCCAGATTCTAGCCCTTTTCCAATAAAATTCTGCTATTCCTCTCTTCCCACACCACCCAGAAAATCGCTGCCTTAGTGGTCCTCCAAAGCACTTACCCCTTTTTTTGGTTGCCTCAAGAAGTTAGGATTGAAGAGATACTCCACATCTTGGGGTAGGACCCACTTGCAACCAAAAAGAGAACAAAAAATCTCCCAAATTCTAAGCACAGAAGGGCAGGAAAATAGTAAATGAGATAATGCCCCAACGTTACCCCTATAAAGGAAGCACATGTGAGGAGAGAAGCATACAAAGGGCATTCTTTTCCACAACATGTCACAAGTATTTACCTTACCAAGAAAAATATCCTAACAAAAAGCTTGAATTTTGAGTGGGGGAGTTTTCTAGAGAAGATTAAGCATATAGATTGAGGCCCAAGATAAGTTCTTGGAGATTTTTCCCAAAAGACCTAGTTGAGTGGAGAAATCAGATTAAGGGGTCTAGAGACAATTTGAAGCTGGTGCTTGGGGATTAAAAGGGAGTTTGTTGACCTATTTGGAGACCAACTCTGGTTGGAAATGTTTCTAGAGTCTCTAGTAGGAGTGGTTATAAATTCTCTTTCTCCCAAGTTATTGAGTATTGTTAAACCCTAGTTTTGTTTTGCTATAGAGAAGCAACTTTGGCTTTAGGTCAATGTTATTTGACTAGTAGTACCTTATTTTTATTTTTGTTTGTTTCCATTTAATCAATGGAGCAAACAAGAGTTGAAAAAAACAGCCTATAAACTTTGGGTTTAGCCAAGGGATCTGTGGACACTATGTTGGAGGCAGTGACTACTGTGAAGTTAGATGGAACTAACTATTTGACATGGTTTCAATCAATAAAAATCTATGCCTATAGTAGAGGAAAATGGGGGTACATCGCTAGGAGTAAGGCAAAACCCAAGGAAGATGATCCTACCTATGAGAGGTGACTGGTGAATGCTATGCAACCTCATATCAATCAACACTACCTATGGGTGGACACTGCTAAGGAGGTAAGGGATATTGTTAAAGAAACCTAATCACAGAAGTTGAATGTTTTTTTTTATCAGTAAACGTGTATTTTATTAAAATTCAGATCGTAAACAGTTTATACAACTTGGTGATGGGACTATTGATACCCCTTAATCACTCTATCCTGTCCCACATTACAGTGCAGCCCAAAATAATTATTGTCTTAATGCCCCTGTTTTGCTAAACCATCAGCTAGCCCATTTGCACTTCTTCGGACCTATTTAAATTCAGCCTCAACCTCCTTTGCAATCTTCTCCACTTCCCCAATCACATGTTTAAACATCCATGGGGTATGGCTGCTGTTTGCTGCCCATGAAATTACTACTTTTGAATCCCCTTCCACTTCAACATGTCTGTATCCTAGCTGTTTGGCTAGCTTTAACCCTTGTAGTAATGCCAATAGTTCAGCCTTCAGTGAGTTTCCGGTGCCAATCGATCCTGAGAACATACCCAATATCCTCCTTTCAGAATTTCTTAATACTCCTATTCCTAAGATGCCCAGATTTCCAAAGGAGCTCCCGTCAAAATTCAGTTTTACTTTATTGCCTTCTGGTGGTTTCCACTCCAACCTTACCTTATCTCTTACTCTCGAAGAGTGTGCTACTTTGGACCATGTTCTTAGAATGTCTGTGACTGAGAAGACTTGAAAGCTATCCAAGGGTTTTACCCAATGGGCTACTTTCACCTTGATACTATCAATCACTTCCTCTATTGTTCTACTTTTTTCCAAGAAAATTCTGTTGTTCCCCTCTTCCCATATTACCCAGCAAATTGCTGTCTTTGTTGCTTTCCACATTATCATCCCTCTTTTTTTTCGTTGTCTCAAGAATTCATGGTTGAAGAGTCCTACCACATCTTGAGGGGGAACCCACCTACAGCCAAAGAGAGTACAAAAGAATTCCCAAATTTGAGTCACAAAAGAACAGGATATCATTAAATGAGAAAGGGTCTCACCACTTTCTTTACACAACAAGCACACATGAGGAGAAAGGCAAATGTATCACCTTCTTTTCTGCAGCATATCGCAAGTGTTTACCTTACTAAGGAATATTTCCCATCAGAAGGCTTGAAGGTTGGGGGAAGCAAGTACTTTGAAGAAAGAGGAGCATGAAAAGAGGTCGTCTGAAGAGCGAAGGGTCCAAGTGGATTTGCCCTAGGAGGTCCAACAATCAGATTAAAGACTCACACTCATTTTCCCTTAGTCCCCTTCTAAAGCCCAAATTCCAGTTCACATCGTTTGGACATGGTGTTCCCAACATGGATATAGCTTCTAAAGCCCAAACCACAGAAGTTGAATGTTGCTAGGGTCTAGGGCTTATAAATTAAAGAATTATGTGAATAATTTAAGATAGGGGGAGAAGCCTTAGTTTTGTAGTTCTCAATGTTGAAGTCTCTCTAGCAAGAAATTGATTTGATGGAGACAGTTCAATGGGAGTGCACAAAAGATGTTGAAACTCATAGGAAATCAGTGGAGAGGAATTGGGTTTTGGGTTCCTTACCAGACTCAACCCTGAATATGATATAGCTATACACTTATACAGAATGTTTTAGCTAAAGATGGCATGACCCTTTCTCAGGCTTATGCTTTGGTCAGTAATGAGGAAAGTAAAAGCCAAGTTTAGATTGTGGAAGGGTGATTTGGTGTCCAAAATTCAGAAGGCCCTTGTTGGGTTGGGAGTTTGGGGGAATGTATGGATTTCCCCTCAAAATTACAATCAATTGAGGTGCAAGTGAATAGGAGGGATTCAAGATGGTGAAAGGAATCCAACAATGGCATCTTTTCTATTAAATTCTTTTACAAGGTTAAGGAATCAAGTGGAGAGATCTAAAGTGAAATGAGTTTGGGGAAATCCTATTCCACCAATAGTGGAAGCATTTGATTGGGTCATGGACTTGAACAATATTTTGAAAATGGATCACATTCAAAGCAGGTTAACTAGTTGTTTGATCCTTCTATGTTTATTTGGCCAAAAAAGAGGGGAAGAATAGGTGACGAGGTGTGTTAAAGCAGCCCTGGTTTGGACCATTTGGGAAGAGAGGAATGTGAGAGTCTTCTCTGATAAGGAAAGAAGCAACGAAGAGATAAAGGATTGTGTGATAGTTAGAGTGATCCATTGTATCAAATCTTTGGACCTGTTTTCTCAAATTTTTCCTAACGACTTATGGAGGAATTGGGAAGGTGTTGCAAGAAGCTCTTCTAGAAAGGGAAGAATAACTGTTGCATGGCACCCCCCCCCCCACCTCAGGACTATGTAAAACTGAATTTTGATGGGAGTAGTAGGGGGTTGTGAGATACATGGAAAGCAAATTAATAGCCTTGATTTCTGGTCCACCGGGTATGGAGATTCTCTCAAGGCAGAATTGCTTGCAGCCTTACAAGGAGCACAAATTGCAAATGAGCTGAACATAACCAATTTGGTGATTGAAGGGGACTCAAAATTGGTGGTGGGTTGGTTAAAGGATCCAGAATCTGTGATATGGTGCTATAGGGATGAAATAAAAGGTTTTTATGGATCACCAAGAATATGAATTTAAGGATACAATGGGTGAGGAGATCGGCAAACAGATTGGMTGATACTCTAGCCAAGCAAAGGGGTGAATAGATAATCTTTGTTTTGGCCTCACTTGTAATTTTCTGTTTTGTTTATAGAGAGGTAGCATCATGTGCCTCCCTGAGGGATGCTTGTAATGATTATAGTTTCAGAATTAATAAAATCTAACTTCACTTATCAAAAAAAAAGCAGGGGCATCTAATTGGCAAGATAGTCCTACTTGTGTGAAACTACTAAGGAGAACATTCTACATTTGTGTTATGGATGTCCCTTCTCAAAGTTTATTTTGGGGTTTTTCTTTGGGCTTTTCAGAACTAATATGACGGAGCCATGGACACCCAGAACATCTTTGCTCACTAGTCTACAATGAGAGGAAATATCAAGGCAAAGTTAGTGTGGAACTGCAATACCTTTTGTTATTTATTGGGGAGAATGGAAAGAAAATAACAGAAGGATTTTCGACAACAAGGCTCAAGGAAGAGATCAAATCACTCTATTATGTGGGAAAAGGATAATGCACTGGGTTCTTATACTTCCAGCATTTGAAGGAATCTCAAAGGAAGATATTTTGCTGGTTTTTGGTCCCTTCTTGAGTTGAAATCAAGCAGTTAGCTTTGTTTTGCTTTTTCTTCTTAACTGTACTTACTTTTTTGTTGTATGTAGAGTTGACTTTTGGTGATTCCTCATCAACCTCAATGATGTGCTCTTTTTCTTTTATTAATAAAATCTTCTTTTTTATTTATTACCAAAAAAAGCTAGGCAGCATATACGTTCTAACCTCTCGAACTTAGGAATTATGTCCTCTTTAAAGTGAAGCTGTGTATAGGATAGGTAGAGGTTCAAGATTTCATTCTTTGGAAATTCCACCATGCAGAAATGGGATGGTTTTCTAGGAAACTCCACAACGTTTGGGAAAAATAAGGAATTTTGGGAAAGATTTAAGATATATTAGGAAGAACATGGGATTCATCATAGAGCTTAATTGTTTGTTGAAGTATATCATATAACGGGTAAGAAAAGATTAAGGGACTCACATAGGCATAGGAAATAGGAATTTTCTTCATTACATCCAAGTTTCCCCACTATAACGAGTATATGCAGTGAATATTATTGTACTCATTATTTAGAAAATTAATATGACAAATATAAGTAGTTGTATATAACAAGCAAGGGAACACTAAGAGAACTTACAGAAGCATGGAAAATAAACATTTGATTCAATGCCATCCAGGTTGGGTTTCCCAAACATGCATTTTGGAGAAACGATCACCATGTTCAGAATATCAAGAGACTCAATTGCTCRTTTGGTAAAACTTTCTGAACATTATTATATTAGTTGGCTATTCTTAAATTATTCATTTAAGTATGATCTTCAAAACAAAATCCAAATCTAGTTGTTTGTCAAACACCTAGAGTCAACAGTTTCAAGTTTTTTTTTTTCTGCAAGGGTGCACTTAAGACATTTTCCAATATCTCATGATGATTTCCAATAAATGCTTATCCAATGCTTTGCTAAAACTTGGAAAATTTGCACATGGCAAATTGAAAACTTCATGATATATCAATTTTTTTTAATGTAATAAAGAAATGTCGTGATAAATTTAGAATTTTATATACAAGGAGGTTTTTGTTTCCCCCTTGAAGAAACAAGTAAATCTTGACATGTTTTACAGAATTTGTGGACCATGTACCTCATAAATGCAGTAAGCCAAATGATTAAGAAATTCTACATACAATTAAGGAAATCCAAACATATAAAACTCGTTATGTAAAAGAGATATGCCTTTTCATGTATAATATCTCAATAGGAAAATATGGGCTTAACAATATATGATTTAGGGATGATGACACGAACAAAATAATGACAACTAATTCACACTGATGGCTTACCATAAAATTGTCCCCACTTACTGACCTGAGAAGAAACTGAATAAGTAGAATAACTTTTGAGATTGAAGTAGAACTGGACAATTGTGAGTGAACCATCAGGAAATGACGTTTAAGAAACCAAGGGGGAATCCATTTATTCAATTACAAAGAAACACTAAACAGAATAACTCACGTTGAAAGTGAAAAAGGCAGTGATAGTTGGACCAGCAGCAGAGGACATAAAAGTAGCCGCTGGAGAATCCTATGATGGATTATTGTGGATTTTAGCGTTAGTATAATGCACCATTGTTGTTTGTCATTACTTGATCATATAAAAGAAGGATCATGGTTTATTTCATCAGTAAATGCGTCCTCAACAATTTTCTCGCTGCCCTGAGTCTGACCAAGAAAACACGTTCTAGAAAAACAATAAGGAAGGCCATTGAAGAAACCAAGAAAACACAAAAGTTCTGAACACACTGTCCATCCTTCTATTCTGAACACATTATTTTAAAATGAATAAATCATGATGTCATGATCCGAAACTCCTCAATAATGACCTTTTTATACAAAACAAAAAGTAAGTAAATACAGAGTAACACGATGAAACAAGCTTGAATCAAAGAACAGACATTAGACAAAACCTACAGAATACAACAGAGACACATCAACGGATGGACATGCAAGACAGAAAGCAGCTTCAAACGCAATAATCCATGAAGAAGAAGCAACGGACATGCATATTAATACAATGCARCCAAAACGAGTACTGAAAAAGCATTTAACTGCACATATGTAAATCAAAATAAGAACAAGACAACAAGAAATTCTCGTATTGTATGTGACGAAGAACACCTCTATGAAGCAGTTCTTTGGGAGCTTTGGCCTTGAGTAGGTTCTCTATCACAGTGGTGTCTGAAGCAACAGAGCAAACAACAACAGAGGTGCTATTTCGAGGCTCCGATGAATATGAAAATGAGAGTTTTATTAAAGAGCAAAAAAATAATTGTCAATGATAAAATGCCTCGAGACAGAAAACAAAAGGGAACGAGAAAATAGTGAATATTGGATTCGGCATATCGGTGCCGTCGTCGGTTTGTTTCAACTTACAAAAGACACGCTCAACTCAGTGCAAGAGGGAAGGAGACCACTGTCGCGACTCGCGAGAAAAGGCGAGAAGAAGTATGAACGGTGTCAGAAATATATACCCTCGTCTTTTATGCATAATTACAGAATTATCCTACTTTTATTATAACTTCTATTTTTTTCGGTAAAACTGCAATAGGTTGCAAGAGACAGTTGGGACGGGATCTGCCTCTTGCAAATGAGCACGAACTTGCCCTGACCGAAGCGAAGCGGGATCTGCTCCTCACAAGCGCTTCACATGCATATCCACCGTGCATTGGAATCATCTCCCGTGAAAAATAACTAATAAGTACGGGAGATGTTTCGAATGCATGATAGAAAATGCGTGTGTAAGGCATCTGTGAAGCGCCAGTTGTGAGGAGTAAATCCGGTCTCRACGGAACTCAATTTCTTTTCTTTGATAGAATTTGGACTTTGGACGCAGGAAAATTACCAAAATGACACAGTTCATGTAAACACGGAAATAATCAATGTAACAAGTTGATGTGTCATGTTAATGGAGAGAACCAGTAGTCACTGTACAACTTGTATATTACCTTTTTAGTAAAAAACAACCATGATTAGGGGGCGGATTGGGTTGGATTTGATTTGGATTGAGTTTTAATCCAATTCATCTAATCTGTTAATTCATTAATAATCCAGTTATATAAAATTAAATGGATTGGGTTCAACCTAAACTCATTTTAACCCAATTCAATCCGCCCAAATTCATTAATCTTATATTTATGAACTTAAAAAAAACAATTAATTATCTATTAATAAATAAGTTGGTCATAGTTTGATGGTAATAGTACTTACTATTTACACAAGTGGTGAAGGTTCAAGTCACATTACATGCTTGTTATTTTTATACAAGCGACGAAGTTATTTGACTATTCGGATTTCGGGTTTGACCGAACTACTTAAGTTCAAACCGACTAGACCAACTTGAACTATCTAATTGGACTATCTTCGAGCTAATCACATCGAGGTGGTTAAACCGTTTAGATCTGGATCAGTCTGGTCGAACCGGTTCAGTCAATGGTGGATTGACTTTGATCGGCCATATCAAGTTGTGCACGAGTTTGGGACCAAACCGACTAACCCAAAGTGGGTCAACGTAAGTAAGTCGGGTCAGTCCGGATTCAGGTCAAGCTGTGTGGATATTGGTTGGACTAGACAATCAAGGCTGTGCAAAGCATACTAACGTCGGACCATCCCACCTGGAACCGTTTCAAATTCAAGTTGACTCAGATCGGCTTGTATTGGATCAGGTCAGGCTATGTGAATGTTGGTTGGACCACATGACCCAAACTAGGTAAAGCAAGCAGTATTGAACCATCCCGCCCATGGTCTATTTCAGATTCGGGTCGACCCATAATAGTATGTGCTGAATCGGGTCAAACCGCATTGAACTAGTCTGGATTCTAGTAGGCTCGAGCTCGTCTCATTTCATAAACGAGCTAGTGAATTGGGTTTGAACTCGAGCTTGAGCTCTATTGAAACCAAACCGAACCAAACTCGAACAACTCGTGAAAAACTCGGCTCGTTGCCACCCTCATGGGAAAATTCACCGTATATGTCATTTTGTTTTATTATTTTATTTGATAATTGTAATACATTTGAGAATTATATATAATAGAGAATGACCACCCATACTATGTATCAGGGCTAGTATTTAATTTTTTTGTTTATATTTTCTAAAAATTTTGACACCCGTTTTCTATGTTCTAAATTTAGGTTAGTATATTATTTGATTTTGTATGTATAGATTTTAATTTAATTTAAGATATTAAATAAAGTTTTATTTATAAATAATACCCTACTTTACGATCCTACATCAGTTGAAATGATACGGGGAAATTGGYTCTTTTGTTTTTCAACACTCGATCTTATCCGAAAGCAAAGATATTTGACAATTCAGTTTATAAAAGTCACTCTTCATATGTAAAATTTCTTAAGAATACTATTTATATGTAAACATATTTATTGCGAAGAATTTGACAATTTGTCCCAATTTTAATAAATGGTGTCATACTAAATATAGCCCATGGGATTACCATTAAGAGAAGGCTTTGTATTGGTAATCTGTATAAAATGGAATGCACAACATTTAAATTGAGTATTTTCTTTTTCAGTTAGGAAGTTGGATTAGCAAGGTATGTTATGGGTTCTATGTTATTTGAATTTGAAAATTTTTCATAAATAGCCACATTTTTTAAGGTAACAATTTCTTTGGAAGGTTTAATTAGAAAGATTAATTATGGGCTCCACTTTATTTGAATTGAAATTTTGTTTGATGGATAATTATGTATAGAAATGTGCAATTTCTTTGGAAAGTGGAGTTTTGTATTTTCATTTTTTATGAGTGGGAATAACCACTTTTGAGATTATATATATATATGTGTGTGTGTGCGAAGTCTAAAAATTGATACATAATGTAGGATACGGTGCAAAACGTATAGATACTTTGAATATGTTTAAAATGTAAGAATGGTACATATGTGTATCCAAAACATTTTGTAAATGTCATTGAATCTCCTTTATAACAAGAAGTATGTCCTAATTCAGTCATAAAGGGTTGATCATTTATTTAGTGCAATAATTCAAGAGAAAACAGTAAAAACTTCCTACTTAGGTATATAAGTATATTTTCAGCCTATTTTGTAACAAGGGAAGTATAAAATAAAGTTCTCAAATGTTGCAACTATAATAACATTACATTATAAAAATAAGTAAATAAATAATTATAACATCATATTGTACTTAACAAACAATAACAAGGGTAAATTGCTGAAATCTCATCTAAAGTTTCTGACAGTAGCTGAAACCTCCTCTCCTCTGAAGTTTAGTAATTGTATTTATCTTTCCTGAACTTTTTGATACAGTTGCCAGTAAGCCCCTTATGGTAGAATCTACTAAAAAAGACATGAAAATTCCGAAACTACCCATATAATTGCTACTAAGCCTGATTTTTACTGAAAAAGAAAAGAATAAAATAATACAAACTTTATGAATAATAAAATCAAAGAGAATTTAAAGTTGCAACTTTAATTTTGAGTGATTGATATGAAGATAAAATTCGGGAAATAAATCAATTTCAGAAAAGAGATTGAAAGGGTTTGGATAGTGATTCATATGAAGATAAATTTTGAAAAGCAAACATTTTTGTTGGATGTAGCTACATGGGCATTTTAGACATTTTAATGCCTCTTTCTAGAAGGGGTCTACTTGGTGGGGGTCCTTGGTCCCCTCAAACTTATTGTTAAAACTATCATTTGTATGGCTAAGTAAGTGGAGGATGGGTTAAAAATGTAGTAACTTCCTCCCCTCCCCCCCACCACAAAAAAAAAAAAAAAGAATTGAAATGTCGAGGATCAATTTGTAATGCTCCTCCAACTCCAAAAATAAAAGAAAAATGTTTTTTTTTTTTTTAATCTGTAATAGACCCTAACCTCCCTCAACTCCATTTCTCTTGAAACCCTACCTCTTCTACTCCCTATTTCATTTTCTTGTTTAACTTAACCCCTCCAAAAGAAAATTTCTGACTCCACCACTACTTACAACCATGCCCAAAATTAAGAAAAACGATTGCAATTATCAAATTTAAGGGGATATTCCAACAACAACCATAAACTTAATGGGAAGTTTCAGCACTTTACACTACTAACAATAATGGCATCATTGTTGTCTGCCCAATAAAATATAGACCAACGGGGATCCTATGCCTATTTTATTGGGCGACGAAGAATTTGAACAAAGATGGTAGCATATACGAGCTCGCATTCATTACACATTAATTTAGTTATTTAAGAACCCCTTGACAGAGTTCATGCCTTACCTTGGAAAATTGCGCATTTTAAAACATAGTTTTGGGACTGTGACTGGGTTTAACAGTTCCACCATCCAGTCGTAGTCAGGACTGGGTTTAACAACATTGAATAGGGCTTTTGTCAGGGTATTAAATTTGGGACGTGATGATACGTTAATACACATACCCGACTAATATAATAGGGTTTTTGTCAGGGTATTAATATCGGATCTCAAGGTGGTGCAAAGTAATGACTCTTTATTACTATTTACTAGCACTTGAATTACAAAATTATAGATATTTGTACTTTGTCAAACAGGTAGGGTTGATCATTTTTGCCTGGGCCCACATTGCCCAGCCCACTCATTTCTTGAAATTTTCATGTCGAGGTCCAGGCGTAGGTCAAGTGTCAGATAATGTTGGTTGGACCTGGGCAAGACAAATGTTAAAACCTGATTAATATACTTAAAACCTTAGTGCTAAACATGTTACTTTATTAATCAATGCAAGCAAGCCCAGATGTTGATTTCGGATTTTTTCCTTGTGGATCGGTTTCACATTAAGGTAACGTTTGATAAATCTGAAATTCAAATATGAAAAATTAAAAAAGATATTAAATGTGTTTAAAATCTAAAAAGAGGTATATTTGTTTTTCTCCTTTTTAGAGGATCTGAATCCATAAGTTTGTTTGTATTGGATCAACCATTTACTATCTGAAATTTACTTAAATGTGTTGCGTTAAGAACTGACCCAAGGTCTATGATTTTTAAATCTGAAAATCAGTTTCATACCCAGTTTAAGAGGTACAACCAAACAATGGGTGAGGTCTGAAAGGTAGCATTTTCAGATTCAGACCTCTAAAAAGTGCAATCAAACGGCACCTAACCTTACAGTGATTTCAAACATATATTGGGGACATCTTCCCTTAAGAGACTATATATAACAAGGTTGGTGTGAGGCATGTTCTATGAGGAGTAAATTTATTCATGGCYCGGGTTTGGGCTTAGTTATTGTCAAAATTTAAATGAGGCCTGGCTTAAAGTCCAAACTCGATACAATATAAGTCAGGCCCAAAGTCCGGCCCATGAACATATCTAATGCAAATCAGATTTCCCATGTCTGACCCAATTGGACAGTCCTAAATGCAGTTACCCTTTTGTAAATACGG